ATCATTGTTGTTTGGCGGGCCCGGGCTGGGGATTCGAACCCACCACCTTAGGTGTATGTGGCTGGTGCCTTAGCTGCTTGAGCCACAGGCGCCGAGCCTCCTTATAGTCTTTTATGCTGGCCTCAAACTTGTCAAGTACATGTTGGCAGACATTCATGAGCTCATTCAGGCCTCTCTGAAGTGGCTCAACAGCTGGGAGAGCACCTTGAGTCTGAATGTGTAAATTAATTTTGCTCTCTGAAGGATGGGCCATAGTGTAACCACAAAATTCCACTTCTGGATTCTTCATAATCATGTAACGCAGAGAATTTCCTAGAGTATGGTCCTTGTTGTGCAATACAAATGTCACACGGTGTCTATCTATTCCAGCTGCCTGGACCATTTCCAGGCCTGTCTTCCTCTCGCCTTCAGCCATTGAGGTCTTCAATCCAGATATTTTTCTCTCCAGCTCCTGGTCCTCCTCCATCGCCGAGGGGTGGTTTCAGGATCCTCAGGAGGTACTGGCGGATCGGAGGCCCTGCCCCATACTGCAAAGCAGGAAGAAAAGCAAAACCCCTACTAATATATTCTTATACATTGATTCTTTTATTTCTGTAGGACAGATACCTAGACATGGGATTACTGAGTTAAATAATATATATTAAAATATATATATATATTTTAGAGATAGTCTTACTTTGTCACCCTCAGTAGAGTGTTGTGGCTCATAGTTCATCACAGCAACCTCAAACTCTTAGGTTCAGGTGATTCTTTTGCTTCAGCCTTCCAAATAGCTGGAACTATCAGTGCTGGCTATAAGGCACAGGAAGTTTTAGAGACAGGGTCTCACTCTGGCTCAGGCTATTCTCAGACTCCACAGCTCAAGCAATTCATGTGCCTTGGCTTCACAGAATGCTAGAATTACCAGTGTGAGCCACTGTGCCGGCATGTGGGTTTTTTTTTTTTTTTTTGCAGTTTTTGGCCGGGGCTGTGTTTGAACCCGCCACCTCTGGCATATGGGACCAGTGCCCTACTCCTTTGAGCCACAGGTGCCACCCGACAAATCTTAATAAATAAAGTAATAGGTAAAGGTTGCAGTTATTCAGATCCCAGGCCAGAAATTCCTGATCTCTCTCCCAACCCAACTCCATTTTATCTTACACTAAGATACTATTAGTATTATTAATGTTTGCCAATATTGTAAGTAAAAAAAATGTTATCTTCTTGTTTAGTTTTCATTTTTTTTTTTTTTTAGTTTTTGGCCAGGGCCAGGTTTGAACTTGCCACCTCTAGGTATATGGGACAGCACCCTACTCCTTTGAGCCACAGGCACCACCCTAGTTTGCACTTTTCTAACCTATTACTAGTGGCTTTACTGTGGCTTCTTTCTGGAAGTAGAACTCTTTGTATTTTTTTGTTTATATTAACCACAATACCATTATTATGTTAATGGAAAATATTATTATCATCATTATTTTTACAGACAAAAATCTCACTATGCAGCCCAGGTTGGCCTCAGTCTCCTTGTCTCAAGCCATCTACTCTCTTTAGCCCCCTGAATAGCTGGGACTAGAGGCATGTGCCCACAAGACAGTAGCAAATACTTTTCTTATATATATTTTTTAGCTCTTAAACTTTTTATCAGCTCGGCGCCTGTGGCTCAAGCGGCTAAGGCGCCAGCCACATACACCTAAGGTGGCAGGTTCGAATCCCCAGCCCAGACCCACCAAACAACAATGATGGCTGCAACCAAAAAATGGCCAGGCGTTGTGGCGGGCACCTGTAGTCCCAGCTACTTGGGAGGCTGAGGCAGGAGACTCGCTTGAGCCCAGGAGTTGGAGGTTGCTGTGAGCGTGATGCCATGGCACTCTACCCAGGGGGACAGCTTGAGGCTCCGTCTCAAAAAAAAAAAACTTTTTCTATCCTTTGCCATCTGAAAAACATTTGTATTTTATGTAAGCCAATTTGCTTATCTTTTCTTACGTTGCTTCAGAATTTGTCTTGCCTAAAACAAATGTTATTTAGACTGTGGTATTTAGAATAATAAAGAAATGAAATGAGAGGAAGTAACCAAAATGTGAAAATGATTTTCTTCAAGTCAGTTTCAAAGAAGAAAAACAACCATATGGAAGAATGGCAGAATTTTGGATCTGAGTATGGTCAAAGATAAACAAAGTTGAATACTAAAGTTATAAAGACAGGTTTTAATCAGTAATATATTACTGTGAAAAGAAAAAAAGTCCAGCACAAACTGAACTGAATTTCCATCTGTACAGCAGTGACTAAGCATTTTAAAAGAGAACAAGGGAAATAGAGAAAGGAGTGAGCAAGAGCTCAGCAGAGTCAAAGGGCAAAAAAATTATAAAAAGTAGGAAATGGAGAAAAACCAAGGTAGGTTTGTTAACCTGTCCACCTACAGAAGCTGGGAGGGGGCCCTATCATCATGTGCTGTTTGGAACAAACCATAAGTTCTTTTGGCAACCATGAGTTTCTCAGGCAGGCACTTTCAGGGGGCTACAGTCAACCTAGGGATGCATCTTTGAGCTGTTAGAAACTACGTTAGTGTGTTGTTCTAGTCGTTAAAGGCCAAGGTTGAGGCTTTGTTGAGTGGGCTCAGAGAAGTCTGGCTAGAGTTTGGGTAGGGAGAGAATCTTCCTCAGTGTTAAATTCCTAAGGACACTGCTGTTTTGGACAACACTCCATTGACCTACTGTTACATTTCATATATATGGTGACATTTTCCCTCCATGATTTTTTAAAAAAACCTTTTGAGTTTCAGTGGCACTGGCACTATTATTTTGAAAGGGTAAGGGTACAGAATGAGAGAGTCATCTGCCTCCCACTTTACAAGTCTTCTAAGTTGTCTTTGCCCCCAAATGCCCTTTCCGTAAATTCTCTCAAAAGGTTTCATTTCCTCATAGTCAAAGTTTCTAAATACAACACTTTGGTCAAGGTCACTGACATGGCCCATTCTAATCAACCAACAAATACTTACTAAGGGCCTATTGGACTTATACCAAGGTGTCACAGTCATCATGTAGTTTGGAAAATGGAAAGTAAAAGACACGTAGTTTAGTTTTTTCTTTGTAATTTCTGAGTAGTGGGAAAGAGGACTTATTCTTGCTAAGGATAAAACACTCTGACTGGAATAAGGAGAGTGTATTTAAGGAGAGTGCTTATTTCCTGCAGGACATGCATTTTATTCCACTAACACCTCCACTCCCTCTTTTCATTCTGTTTCTTGGGCTTCCTTCCTGTCTCTCAAACATGCCATGCTTTCTCTTTGCCTACCCCACTTTTTTTATCTTTATTTTTTCTTAAAGCCTTTAAAACATGATGGAAAAACTTTACAGGTACATATGGAAAAGTAAGACATGATTGCCACTGAATGAAAACAATCTAACCGGAAAGTTTTATGCATGTCAGCTAATGTTGAAGGTGAAATTCTCAAAAAAAGGTCTCATTTTGTTTTTGGTTAGGTTTATAGTTTTAAAACCTTTGTATCAAAACCTACCATCTTAAAAACACAAAAATGCCAGTTAATCCAGGTAAAAATGTATGCTGACAATTTGAAGACATTTTTATTTTTAGTTTATCAATAATAATTAATAATTTTCTTTGAGACAGAGTCTTACTCTTATCAACCTGGGTAGAGTGCTATGGGATCATAGTTCACAACAAACTCAAACTCCTGGATTTGAGCAATCCTCTTGCCTCAGCCTCCTGAGTAGCTGGGACTACAGCATGTCCATGAGGCTGGCTAGTTTTTCTATTTTTAGTAGAGATGGGATCCCACTCTTGTTCGATTTGGTCTTGAACTCCTGAACCTAAGGGATCCCCCCGTCTTGGCCTCTCAGAGTGCTAGGATTACAGGTATGAGCTACTGCTTCTGGGCAATAATAATAATTTTCAAACATCCTGCTTATTTACCAAAGATTACTAGAAATACCAAAAGATTACATGAACTAGAAAAGCATTTGGGTTTTTAAAATTAGTTTTTGGGCACTTATTTTTTTTTTTTTTTTTTTGAGACAGGGCCTCAAGCTATCCCCCTGGGCTGAGTGCCGTGGCATTACAGCTCACAGCAACCTCCAACTCCTGGGCTCCAGCGAGTCTCCTGCCTCAGCCTCCCAAGTAGCTGGGACCACAGGTGCCCGCCACAACGCCCGGCTAGTTTTTGGTTGCAGTCGTCATTGTTGTTTGGCGGGTCCGGGCAGGGGATTCGAACCCGCCACCTTAGGTGTATGTGGCTGGCGCCTTAGCCGGTTGAGCTATAGGCGCCGAGCCTTGGGCACTTATTTATAAGCCTGTCTAGGATGAGGCAGACACAGCCTGTAACAGGTGTATACTCACAAAATATATCTGAATGTATACACACACACTCGCTCTCACATACACATGGGTTCCAATAGCTTTTACCTCTGACTCTAGACATGAGACAGTAACACAAATTGACCAGTTTACAGAAGATAACTGGATCCCAATTACTTCTGACAAAACTGTAACTTGTTCACATGGCTAATTTTTTTCCTGATAGGCAATCTAATAATGCTTGAGGACCAAAGTTTTAGGTAAAGCAGTTTCCATAGCAGTTTGATTTTACATAATCTCTTGTCTAGGCCAAGCGTGGTGGCTCCCTCCTATAATCCTAGCACTCTGGGAAGCCTAGGGAGGATCCCTTCAGTTCAGGAGTTCGAGACCAGCCTGAGCAAGAGATTGAGACACACACACACACACACACACAGTCTCTACTAAGAATAAAAAAACTAGTCAAGTGTTGTGTAGCTGTAGTTCCAGCTACGCAGCAGGCCGAAGCAGCAGGGTGTCTTGAGCCCAAGAGTTTGAGGTTGCTGTGAGCTGTGGTGCTCTGCCCCTTTATCCAGGGCAACAGAGTGAGACTGTCTCAAAAAAGAATAAAAAAAGCCTCTTTCCCCTTCAGCTTAATATGAATTTTCAGTGTTTACATTCTAGCAAAACTGGCTATAAGATCTCCAAGTAGCTGTGAACTAGCAATGCCATAAACATTGGGTTTCTCTTAATAGTAGTAGAAAAAGTTAGCAGGTTCAGAGTTGGCAGAAAAGTAAATAGAGAGGTAAAACACTTGAGACATTAAAAAAAATTTTTTTTTCTTTTTTGTAGAGACAGTCTTTTTCAAGACAGAGTCTAACTTTATCATTCTCAGTAGAGTCCTGTGGTGTTACACAGCTCACAGCAACCTCCAACTCCTGGGCTTAGGTGATTCTCTTGCCTCAGCCTCCCGAGTAGCTGGGACTACAGGTGCCCATCACAACACCTAGCTATTTTTTTGTTGCAGTTTGGCCAGGACCAGGCTTGAACCTGCCACCCTCGGTATATGGGGCCAGCGCCCTACCCACTGAGCCACAGGCGCCACCTGAGACTTTAATATGAAGGTACAGATGATTAGGTTATGTTGTTTGTGTTTGTTAGGTAGAGTCCAAGTTGTAGTTGTGCCCCTCACCCAGGGGGAGACATTTTAACTTTATAGGCAGATTGATCATCTGAGCTCTGGATTTTCTTTGATGTAATTTGCCCATCAGTTAAAACATGTGCACAGAAATGGCCTTAACCAGCTAGAGTCCTAGGAAACCTGGCATGCCTTCAAACCTTTCCATTTACACAAATACTTGCAAGTAGAGGTACCATAAACCAACAAGGATGCCTAAGTGGATCAATCTCCTTGTCCTTCCTTGTCTTTAGAGGATTTCCCTCCCATTTTTCCTTAAAAGAAACTACTGAACTGTGGTCTAGGGTTTAGTGTTTCACCACTGAGTCATTACCACCCTCTAACACATCTCAGTTTCTCTCTTAGGGGGTCTGTCTCCTCCGAGGGGGCTGAAAACACTGATCAGCTCTTATATTTATTTCCTGAAGTAGCCTTCTTTTATTTTTATTTTTTATTTTTTTTCTTGTGACAGAGTCTCCCTATGTTGCCATTGTAGAGTACTGTGTGTCACAGCTCACAGCAACCTCAAACTCTTGGGCTTAAGCAATTCTCTTGCCTCAGCCTCCTGAGTAGCTGGGACCACAGGCACCCGCCACAATGCCTGGCTATTTATTTTTTTTGGTTGCAGCTATCATTGTTGTTTGGCAGGCCTGGGCTGGGTTCAAACCTGCCAGCTCTGGTGTATGTGGCTAGTGCCCTAGCTGCTGAGCTACAGGCACCGAACCAGCCTTCTTTTAATTAAATTTGTTTGGGGGTTGCCCTCAAGGGCTGCTTTATGTCATAGGAAATCACCCCAGACATTCCTACTTAGGTAGCCAGTTACCTAGGGGCACCTTTTGGCTGGGAGGAGTAAAATGTCCTTTCTCTTAGGAGCTCAGGAACTTGGTCTGTCATTTATCTACCATGTAGCAGTTCAGTTTCCCCTTTTAAAACTGCACAGAAAAGTCAATTGAGATTAATTTAGAGAGGAAGGGGAAATGGAGAAGACCCTTTAGAATGATCTCAAAGCCTTGGGTCATGCCTGTAATCCTAGCACTTTGGGAAGCTGAGGCGGGTGGATCACCTGAGCTCAGGAGTTTGGGACCAGCCTGAACAAGAGCAACATTTTGTCTCTACTAAAAAACTTAGAAAAACTAGCCAGGCGTTGTGGCAGGTCCCTACCACCTACTTGGGAGGCTGAGGCAAGAGGATCTCTTTAGACCAAGAGTTTGGTGCCACAGCACTATACTCAGGGCTACAGAGTGAGATTCTGTCTTTAAAAAAAAAAAAAGGCTTGGAGCCTGTAGCTCAGTAGTTAGAGACCCACCATGGTGAGCTATTTTTCTTTTTGTAGAGATGAGGCCTCACTATGTTGCTCAGCTTTGTCTCAAACTCCTAGCCTCAAGCCATTCTTGGTCTCAGCCTCTCAAAATGCCCAACCATAATTTTGTCTTTTGATAAACTTCATTAGGAATCTACAAGACAAATTTTATTTTATTTTTATTTTTTTTGAGACAGAGCCTCAAGCTGTCCCCCTGGGTAGAGTGCAGTGGCTTCACTGCTCACAGCAACCTCCAACTCCTGGGCTCAAGCGAGTCTCCTGCCTCCGCCTCCCAAGTAGCTGGGACCACAGGCGCCCGCCACAACGCCCGACTATTTTTTGGTTGCAGCCATCATTGTTGTTTGGCGGGCCTGGGCTGGATTCGAACTCACCACCTTAGGTGTATGTGGCTGGCGCTTTAGCCGAAGACAAATTTTACTAATGACACTTTATCATTTGTTTGCCTTCCCACAAATCCACTACATAGGAGGCCGAGACAAGAGGATCACTTGGGCCCAAGAGTTTGAGGTTGTTGTGAGCTGTGATGGCATGGCACTCTAGTGAGGGCAATAAGTGAGACTCTGTCTCAAAAAACAAAACACAGGCTTGGCGCCTGTGGCTCAAGTGGCTAAGGTGCCAGCCACATACACCTAAGGTAGCGGGTTCAAATCCAGCCCAGGCCCGCCAAACAACAATGATAGCTGCAACCAAAAAAAATAAATAGCTAGGCATTGTCGCTGGCGCCTGTGGTCCCAGCTGCTTGGGAGGTGGAGGCAGGAGACTCACTTGAGCCCAGGAGTTGGAAGTTGCTGTGAGTTGTGATGCCATAGCACTCTACCCAGGGGGACAGCTTGAAGCTCTGTGTCAAAAAACAAAGCAAAACAAAATACAACAAAACTAATTTAAAGATCTTAATTGAATTTTATTCGTGATTCTAGAATTGGGCAATACCTCATTCTATAAAACAGAATGTGAACAAAATTCTTTTTTTTTTTTTTTTTAAAACAACATTCTTTTTTCCTTACCTCCTCTGCCAGAAGTCACATAGCCCCTGTATACTTTCTTTGTTATCTTGGTAGCAAGCATGCAACTTTTTATCCCTAAAGTTAATCTTTATCCCATGTACCAAGATTTATGTCACTTAGTAACTTTATTTAAGATACTACATAAATAAAGCTATTTTCACAGTTTGGGGTTGGCTGCAGTCTTAGCTGCTCCAGTCCTTCCGATCCCATCTTTGTCTCTTGTGTTTTATTTACTTATTTCCCACCATTCCCACTTAGGTTTGTTCTTTTTTGCACTGGTTGGAGAAAGAGGAGTGAAGTGCCAACAGCATGAGAAGATGGCACACTATTGTCTCAAACACCATCTCATCTTTCTCTACCTACTGACCAATTATAAAGGAAAGGGGTAAAAGGGGCACATAGCAGAAATCAAGCTTTGTGCAAGTCATTATGACCTGTACACTAGTTATAGGAAAACAATCAATTGTCTGGTAGATCTTGTTATCAGCTGTCTGTGGTTGGTCTGTTCCTGATTCTCTTTATCTTTCTCCTTTTTTTTTTTTTTTTAAAGACAAGGTCTTGCTCTGTTGTCTGAGCTAAAGTGCAGTGGCATCATCATATCTCACTGCAACCTCACATAGCCTCCTGAGTAGCTATAGGCCCACATGACCATGACAGCTAATTTTTCTATTTTTTTGTAGAGATAAGGTCTCCCTCTTGCTCAGGCTGGTCTTGAACTCCTGGTCTCAAGCAATCCTCCACCTTAGCCTTCCAAATTGCTAGGATTATAAACATAAGCAACCATGCTTGGCCTGTTCCTGACTCTTAATCTGTTTTTCGTAAGCAAGCAGCAAGTCAACTTTAACCTTTTAAGACAGAACAAGCCAAAAATAAACAGGAACGAAATGACTTTAGCTATCCTACCAGTAGTCTGAACGGCCCTTGGAGTGGGCTTACAAAGAGGCATATTTGGGGTGGGACATTCTGGTCTCTTATAGGAATACTACCTATTCCATTCCCTTCACCTCTGACCACTCCAGCCCTAGTCTCCCTCATTTTCCTTTCACCTTGCACCGTTAGCCCATGCATCTCTGACGCAATAGCCCCCAGAGCATAGTGATCAATCAGTAAACACTGCTCCAGTGGTCTGTTTCTGGCAGGGGTTAGCTATGTGTGCATTCTCTGAGGGTGAGAGACTGGAAGGACAGAAAAAGCCACAAGTAAAGAAATAAGGTGCTTCACCGAATGGATGAGGAGGAAGGGGGTGCGCCTCAACCTGTGCCTCTGACGTCTTCAGAAGAAGGGTGAGGCGGGATTGAGGGCCTAGCGTGAAGTGTGCAAGGTGGAGAACTCTCAGATAGCCAGGCGGACCAGAGGTCAGGGGCCTGGGTGGGGCTTCGAGGTGGGAGGAGGCGGGCAGGTCTGCTCAGGACTTGGGCGGGGCTCGGGGCTGCGGGGCTGGAGGCGAGGCGGGTGGAGCGTGTAAATGCGCAGGCGCACAGACGGGCCGCGGCTAGATGACTGCGGGACGGGTAGCCTGGGGATCCTGGGAAAGCCATGAGGCACAGTGTTGCAAAGCTCGTTTCGTCGCTTCTGGGGCTGTGGTTGTTGCTGTGCAGCTGGGGGCGACTCGGGAGCGCTGATCTTCGGGCGCCGCCAAATAAGATCGGTAAGCGAGAAGGGGGCGGTGCGGGAGAGCGTGGGGCAGCCGCTGCGTAGCGCGCCCAGGCTCTGCAGGCCTGAGGGAGGCCGGGCTGCGAGGGCTAAACCCTCGTCGCAGGTCGTACTTCACCCCACTCACTCCTCAGGGCGGATTTCGGTCCTGCAGGGAGTGGGATCTTGCTTTCCCAGGAGTGGAGAGGTGCCCACTTGAGGTATGGGTGTTGATGGGGACCCGGGCAGGTGGACGCCAAGCGTCTCTGCAGCCCCTGTCTCGTAGGCGTGGGTGTCCTGGGAGACCGAGGCCCCTCTTACTCCCTTCGCTTTGTTGCACTTTGGGGAGGCCAGTCTTCTAACTGTCCCTGGAGTGTCGGACCTCTCCTGCTACCAGATTTCGGGCGCCCCCAGACACGGTACAGGGCAGTGGAAACAAGCTGACCTTGTTGGCTTCCCTTGATATGCAGCAACCCCCTTTCCCCATCTCCGCTTTGCTGAAGTTTGCTGAGGTCGGCCTGCCCTCAGAGGCCCCAGGCTTGCACAATTTCTTTGCTTAGGATTAATACAACTGCTGAAAGAATCTGTTATTTTAAATTTCAGACGCTTTGGTATTTTGCTTGCTACTCTTCGCCACCACCCACCCCCAACCCCGCGCTTTTTAAAGTTGTGCTCTTAAGGATCATTAACCTATCTACTTTAAGTCTATAGTGAGACAGAACAAAGCTGGCAGAAAAGGAGATAACTTTGTTTAAAATGCTTCCTAGAAAGGCCCACCTCTTCTGTTCCCATTAGTTGGGGTCCAAGAAGGGTGTGCAGGTCCATTGGTACCAACACAAAGACGTGAGAGACTCTCTGGGCTTTTGAAAACACACACACACACACACCCCTACCTTATTAGTATCAGTTTTTAAATTAAGGTACTACTGCTTTTGTCAGGGGGCATTATATGTCCAGACTGGGAGAGTTGGATCTTCCCTGCAGGTGTTGTTACCCCCTCTTTTCCAGGCTTCCCTAAATTGTTGGTAATAGCCTTGAGTAACCACCATTATTAGCTAATGGCCTTTCACAAATAAAAGAGAACAACCCCCACAGTGAATAAGAGGGGAGGACAAAAAAAAAAAAAAACAACAACAACTGTTCCTTTTTTCCACTTAGCGATAATTGGAGCCGGAATTGGTGGCACTTCAGCAGCCTATATTCTTCGCCAGAAATTTGGGAAAGATGTGAAGATTGACATCTTTGAAAGAGAAGAGGTGGGGGGACGTCTGGCCACTATGATGGTGCAGGGGCAAGAATATGAGGCAGGAGGTTCTGTCATCCATCCTTTAAATCTGCACATGAAGCGCTTTGTCAAAGACCTGGGTATGTAACTTTAGTCTTAAAGCTCATCAGATTTTTGTGTGACATCTCTGGACAGTTTTAATCAGATGCAGAACTGGAACTTTTTGTTAATTGTCTTTTACAGAGAAGCTGGTACAAACTGTTTTCCTCACTTTCTTGTTAGCAGTTTCTACTGCCTTAGTTAGGAGCTGCTCTTTTGTAACAGAACACTAGTTATCAGTATCTTCTGTTATCTGGAATTACAGACAAGGGGTGGGACTGGGTATGGCTGCTGTGATCAGTTCTTAAACTTATGGGTTTGTGTAGAAAGATCAGAGACTGTTTCGAGCTAGTGACCACTTTAGTGTGCTCATTTAACAGCTGAGGAAGTGAAACCCAGAGGCTTAAAGTGTCTGGCTTTATGTCAGTCACACAGCTGTGTGTGCAGACCTATGCCTAGAACTTGTGATGACCGATTGCTGCCCTGCCACAGAGATGTTGGACAGGTTGTGAGGAAAGTCTGCCAGGCCCTCTGCAATTCCTTTCCTTGGGGAATCGTATAATTTTGGCCTCCTACCACTTATCTGAAATTCCTCGTTATGCACAATAGGATTCCAATAGGAATGGAAGTGCCTCTTTCCCCTCAGCTGCTGTCCACATCCCCTATGGATGCTTCCTGTACTTCCATGTCCTCCAGGAGGGTAAATGTACACCCAGAGCAAGTCATGCCATGGAGGGTCATGTCTGACATTTTGGTTTTTAAATTGCATTCATTTGGTATTCTCTGGCTTATTTCCTTAGACTTTTTAGCGTTTTTAGACTAAAAACAGCCAGATAAAATACATCTGATTCTGATATATTGCATGATCATCAGAGCCACTATCTAGAGAATCTGCTTTTGGACTGTAATGAGTGTTCTAAAGATAGAGGTCCTTGAGAGATCTCCTGAGAAGGGGAAGACCCCCAAATTCGCTCACTTCACAGTGTCCCCAGGGGCTTTAGATTACCATCTTTCATTTGATCAGCCTAGAAACAATTGGCTTAGCTACCCTTTCTCTGTTTTTGCAGGTCTCTCTGCTCTTCAGTTCTCTGGTGGCCTAGTGGGGGTGTATGATGGAGAGACTCTAGTGTTTGAGGAGAGCAACTGGTTCATAATTAACATGATCAAACTAATTTGGCGTTATGGATTTCAGCCCCTCCGAATGCACATGTGGGTAGAGGACTTGTTAGGCAAGTTTATGAGGTAATTTTTTTCCTTTTATTTAATCTAAGACCTTTTAGTTTGATGAACTTTAGAAATTATAATCTCTTAGAACAGTTCTCGGCTTGGCGCCTGTGGCTCAAGTGGCTAAGGCGCCAGCCACTTACACCCAAGGTGGTGGGTTTGAATCCAGCCCATCCCGCCAAACAACAGTGACGGCTGCAACCAAAAAATAGCTGGGCGTTGTGGCAGGCGCC